GTCATTATACGTGTTCATAAAAAAGAGCATATGGGGATCCTCCACTTGATGTGTCGTTATCATAAGGAAAGTTTTTATAAGGAAATTCATACAATGAGGACATTTTTTTTATAACAAAATTTTTTATAAGAAAATTTTTTATAAAAAATTTTCTTATAAGGAAATTTTTTATGAGGAAATTCATACAATGAGGTCATTTTTTATAAGGAAATTCATACAATAAAAAAATTTTATAAGGAAATTCATACAATAAAAATTCATTTTATGAGGAAATTTTTATAAAAAAATTTTATAAAAAATTTTGATTAGGAAATTATATAATTTTTTTATAACAAAATTTATAAGGAAATTTTTTATAAGGAAATTCATACAATGAGGTCATTTTTTATAAGGAAATTCATACAATGAGGTCATTTTTTATAAGGAAATTCATACAATGAGGTCACACAAAATTATTGACCCTTAGATTTGAAAGCGAATGTTTAAAGAGGTGTATTTGGGCCCATAGATAAGGATTCCCCTCAAGATGACAAACAACGACCTTGTCGAGGTGTCTTTGTCCTTTCCTTACTTCTCAACCAAAACGGAGATCGACATAATTCAAATTCAATGGCTAGATACTATGCCCCCATGGGAATATACTATACACTCGATGCGGAAAGAGTTACTAGAGGATTCTCTCCATCTAAAAATTTGTGATTCTCCTTAAAAAATCTCCGTATCCATAATAAATATAAAAGGATTTTGGGCTATTAAACAATTAGATTTGACCATCTCAAATTTTGACGATTTCTAGTCAAACTTAGGGCATTATTTTTTTGTTGACGATTTCTAGTCAAACGTAGGGCATTATTTTTTTTGTTAGACAGATGGATAATGATTTGTTTTTAGGTTTGTTTTCTTCTTTTTTTTTGTTATTTTTTTTTATTATTATTCTTTAATTTATCTCTTTAGGAATAAGAGAGAGGAGAGATGGATAATGATTTGTTTTTAGGTTTGCTTTCTTCTTTTTTTGTTATTTTAATTTTTTTTTAATTTTTTAGTTTATCTCTTTAGGAATAAGAGAGAGGAGATCATATAGGGATATTTGTTGGCATTGAGTTTATGTGTGAGTTGATATTTATAGATTTGGGTTAATTAGTTATTGATTGATTTGATTTGGTTAGTTTGGAATATAAATAGATAAGGTTAAATTAAGAGAGGCAGTTTAGGAATATAAATAAGATAAAGTTAAGTTTAGATAGAATTTATCTTTATCAACAATAACCAAAGTTAAAGAGAAATTTTGGCAAAACGTATAGAAACGAGCCTATTTTTTAGCACATGAATTAAAGAGAGAGAAGATATGAAAAATTTAGTATGTGATTTTAAGAGAGAAAATAAGGAAGAAGAGATAAAATAGGAAAGTGTAGAGAGAGATTTTTTAATGTCTATCTCATTTTTTAGTCTATTTAAAGGGGGTTTCTTTATTGTAAAAAAGGTGGATGAGTTAATAAAATTTGGTCTCGTAAAAAAAATTTTGGGGTAGATTTCCTTGTAAAGAAAATTTTGGGGTAGATTTCCTTGTAGACATTGAGAGAGGGTATACCTTCCCTATTAGAACCCTGAGAAAGGGTATATTCTCTTTCAACCTTTTATTTTTATTTTTTCTAGTTTTATTTTTTTACATCAATTGGTATCAGAGCTAGTCAGATCTTGAGAGCAAGTTAGATCAGCTCGGAGCAATCCAGCAGAGAGCAAGTTAGATAAGTTAAATCTACAGAGACCAAGTTAGATTTGCTATGGATGATTGTTGGGAACAAGCTTTGGGATCGTTGGGAACAAGCTTGGGATCGTTGGGAACAGGCTTGGTATCGTTGGGAATGAGCTATAGAAAAGTTTTATGAAGTCTTAGAGGATGTTCGAACTGAAATACGTGAGAAGCAAGTTAGAACAGAGCAAGTTAGATTCAAATAAGTTAAATCTAGAGAAACCAAGTTAGATCAAAACAAGTTAGATCTGCTATGGATGATCGTTAGGAACAAGCTTGGTGTCGTCGGGAACAAGCTTGGTATCGTTGGGAACTAGCTATAGAAAAGTTTTCTGAAGTCCTAGAAGATGTTTGAATTGGAGTACGTGAAAAGTTTTCTAAAGTCCTAGAGGATGTTCGAACTGAAATACGTGAGAAGAAACATGAGATCCAGTAGTTGGAGAACAATCTTCCTCGTGAAGATGAATTAACAAGCTAGATCTATTGTATTCCATAATTAAGAAGAAATTAACAAGCTAGATCCGCCGTGTTCTATAGAGAAGCCATTCTATAATTAAGAAGAAACTAACAAGCTAGATCAGCAATGTTCTATAGAGAAGCTAGATTCATCACGTCCTGTAGAACGACCACTAGATTTTGACATTAAAATCTTTAAAATCTATCCCCCAAAATTTCATAATTTTGACATGAAAATCTTTAAAATATATCTCCCAAAATTTCATGGTCAAGTGTATTTATCGGTTGAACTTGGTGTTTTTTCGTATTCTACAATTACTCACGCGGAATAATCAGCCCACGCGCATTACTATTGGAATACAAGAATAATCAGCCCATTGGAATAAATACAGGAATAATCAAGAATACAGTTGCAAGCATCAGTCAACAATTACTCTTGGAATACAATTACAAGCCCATTGGAATATAGGAATAATTAGGAATACAGTTGCAAGCATCAGTCAACAATTACTCTTAGAATACAGTTACAAGCATCAGTCTTTTTGAGCTGGACTTCATCATCAACTTTTGAGCTCGAGGTCGAGCTTCTCCCAATGGGGAGAATGATGGAAATAATATTAGGGTTATTTTAATTTTTTTTATTTGAGAGAATAATGTAAATAATATTAGGGTTATTTTATTTTATTTTTATTCTTTAGTTTATCTCTTCAGGAATAAAAGAGATGAGTCTTCATGAATAAGAGAGAGGAGAGGAGGTGTGTAGGGATATTTGTGGGAGAGGAGGTGTGCAGAGATATTGGTGGGCATTGAGTTTGTGTGTGAGTTGATATTTATGGATTTGGGTTAATTAGTTATTGATTGAGTTTGAGTGTAAGTTGATATATATGGATTTGGGTTGGTTAGTTTGAAATATAAATAAATAAGGTTAAATTAGGGGAGGTAGGTTAGGAATATAAATAAGATAAGGTTAAGTTTAATGAAAGTTTATCTTTATCAACAATAATCAAAGTTGAGGAGAATTTTGGGAAACACATGGGATAGAAAGGAGCTTAATTTTTAGAACGTGAGCACGTGAATTAAAGAGAGAGAAGATAAAGGAAAATTTAGCAATAAAGGAAAATTTAGCAAAGAAGATAGGAAACGTGAATTAAAGATAGAGAAGATAAAGAAAATTTAGCAAAGAAGATAGGGAAAATTTAGCACGTGATTTTAAGAGAGGGAAAATAGGGAAATAAGAAAAGTGTAGAGAGAGTTTTTTTTAATGTTCATCTTATTTTTTAATCTATTTAAAGGGGGTTTCCCTTCATGGTAAAAAATGTGGATGAGTTAATAAAATTTCGTCTTCTCTCAACTTTTTATTTTTATTTTTTCTGGTTTTATTTTTTTACATCAAATAGCTATGTTGATAAAGCTACGTCCACAAATTTTTGAGGGTCTACAAATAATACTAGATTGGGTTTTACCTAGTGCGTGATGATAAAAATCATATGTAAGAATATAAAATCTTGAATTTGATCATTGTATAAGAGCATAATCTTTATTTGAACCAAACAATGTACGTTCAGTAAAAGTCCATTTCAATCCATGTTTTAAAAGGTGGATTATGGCTAGACTCTCAATAGACCGTGCCCTCATCCCCCCAAGAATCAGTATCTAGCAAGTCCGAGTCTAAATGAGTGATTTTTATTAAGTAAAATATAACCATTATCGGAGATTGGGAGACTCGGGAGGTTCAAACGTTTGTTGGTGCCGGCGAGTCCCGAGTTGCCTCGGCTACTCTTCAATTTTATAAACGATTCGGTTTTCATGAGTCTCTCGACTCATACTATTTTCATGCTGACTGCCTTGAGCACCCATTATTGGTATCGATCGTGGATCCAAATTTGCAGTGATCCATGATCTACACTATGATGATCATGAATATAAAAGATAAGATATAATAAAATAAAATTTGAAAATATTTTTATTAGAATATTTTCCTATCCACTGGATATGAAACTGTAGTTGTGGATGTTCATCTTAAATATGGACGCTTGTGATTGTGCGGGCTATTAACTCGGCTGACTACCAAAACATTTTTTCTTATAAAAGAGCAAAAATAGTAGAAAAGACCCAAGGAAAAGTAATCATCGCAACTAGTTGCACCATACCAGTGTGGGGTGGCCCGTAAAACGCCATATTTTTGTAGAGTTAAGGTACGGAAATCTTATATTTCAAAGCTATCACAAAGATTTTCAATATTGAGACCACATTTCTCGACAATATTTGAAGGTGTATTTTACTTTGATTGTTTAGAGCCTCATATCCATATAAACCACACCCCAATCTAAGACATTAGACTTCCTAAATAGTAAAAATTTGAGCAGCATTCTTAGGAATGAACGATTTAGATTAGGTGGCAAACACTAACACATAACTCCTAGCCCTGATTCTTTTGAGGATTAATTTTGGAAGCAATATTTCAAAACATGGATCCGTAGGCGGATCGTTCACCAACATATCTGTGTTAGAATGGCTGGATTGGCAATTTTGATCAGGTCTGGATAGGTCAGAATTGGTAATTTAGAAAATATTAAAACAAATAAAATTAAATTAAATTAAAATAAAGGTTTTATGGGTGGCATTGTAGAGAGGACAAAAAAACCATTAAATATCTTTTAAAAGTCAAGAGGATGACTTTGAAAACTTTTGGATCTTAGAAAAAAATGATTATATGGTTTTTTGATGGGGCCGGCCAATGCGATTATAAGTAACCAGAAAAAGAAAAAAAAAAAAAAAAACAAAATACACGGCAATGGTACCTTCATATAGGGCGGAAACACTCCCAACCTAATCTACGCTCCTCACTACTCAACCTTTTCGACCAATTCTTCAAGCCACCAGAAATCCTCTACAAGCTTATTTTCTGGTTTTCAGGTGTGGTTTTCCGGTTAAGGGGAGAAATTAAGTGATTTAGAGATGGCAGTGGGAGGCTTTGCACTGGAAGCGGGCTCTACCGCAGCCAGGTCTGGCGGAAAGCTAACGGTGGCAGTGTTTTTTACCTGCATCATGGCGGCCACCGGAGGCATGATCTTCGGCTACGACATTGGAATTTCAGGTTTGGAGAGAAAAACGATGAAATGATTCAATTTAATTATTTTTATTATAGTTAATCTCAGTGTTCCAAGACTCGGCCAACTTATCCAGGCTCGTTCTACGGGCGAGGCCGAGTAGCCTCGAATTATTTGTAGAAATCGAGGGTATATGAAAAAATCTAAAAAAGTTGTATAAAACATGGGAATGGTGTATAAATCTTTTTCATATGATTTGAATGTTATTTGATTAGTCTTTTTTTTCCATAATCTTTATTCTTATATTTTTTTTTTGTTTTAAAATTTTTTTATATACAAATCAGTTTTTTCACATATTTTTACTTTTTTTCTTGTCGAGAGCCTTTTTGTACAGTACAAAACTCGGGCGAGTCCACCCAAACTCAACCAAGTTACATGGCCAAAGGCGAAATATCTTGGCTGAGGCGAGTTATTCCGCGAGTTATTCGAACACTGGGTAGAAGAAAAAAATGTTTTCCCTTGTATCTAAGATTATTTCGCAGAGAACTAGAGGTGCATAGTTGGGGGTTAATTGTTGCAAATGCTCTCTCTCTCTCTCTCTCTCAGATTTGTTGAAAACTTTATGTGTGCATTGGTCTGCTGTAACATGTAAGCATTCACAATCCACACGAGAATCGCCCGAGTCAAATCGGCTTACTCTTGTCATTTGGGTTTGCCACTTTCCTTTTTCGTCCGGGCTTAGACCCCTCTCTCCCCTCTAAAATTACTTACTATCGGCTAGAGCTTTGGCATAGTATCAACAAGCCCTACTACTATGAAGTACTCTATTATTACTAAAGGCTAAGGGCTTAAATCCCTACTGACTTTTCTTTTTTTTAGTTCACTCGGCCTTGTCTCTCTTTATCTTTGTAAAACTTCATTTTTTCTCTCCGTTGGAGAGAATTATGTATCGGAAATTTTAGACTCGACGGATTTAAAACGAAATCCATCTCTGTAAAACTTAGAGAAAATCTGCTATTTTTCCTTCATTTTTTGGCCTATAAGTTTTCTCTTTTTTTTACAAATATGAAAGTATCAAATGAGACTCGAGTAGCCAGCAGCTGAAGTTTAGCAGCCTACATCTCAAGTTCGCTGAAACTAGAAAAAACAAATTAATTAATTAATTAAAAAAGAAAACATTAATTTATATAATATTTATTTCCATTAAATAAGGTCCCAGTCGTTCACCAATCTTATGGGCGTTGACTTATGGTTAAATTAATTTATCCCTAGCTTTCAAAGAAATTTCGATTTTATCCTTGGTTGACGGTTGCAATAAAAGGTGGATTACACAACACGACACGGTTTAAAATCTATTTTTGAAATGGGTTTTTGGATCTAATTTTTAATATGAAAAAAACAAATGTATAAATTTTACAATGGTTGCTTTATACCTTGGGGACCCACAAATGTAGAAATGCGGTCCCCGCCGCATTATACAACATTCCTTATACTAAAACCGTATACTCAAATTTGAGTGACAAACTTCGTAAGAATCTACGCGATTCCCCTCTTCTAACAAAACCCAACAATATTCTTTCTAGGCTTAAGACTAAAGTTATTTTTTGGGCAACTTTTGCAAACTTTTTATTTGTGTTTTACTTCCTAATAAAGAAAGTCCCTAATTTTTTCAGTTTTACGAGTCTTCCTATATAATTGCAGGACATTTTGTTTATCAAAATAAATATGAGATGAACTATTTAATTTTTTATTTTTTTATTTAATTTAAAATTCCAAATATTTAATTTGAATAAGTCAATCAAAATACACATGGTCATGAGATGGAATAGTTAAAAAAAGATAAAAACATTAAATAGTCGATATACTATAAATTTTAATTTTATTTAGTTTGCTACAATATAGGCCCCTCTACGATAACAATCAACCTCAACTTAGAATACAAAGAGTCCGAAATGGATTTGGTGAGGGGGGTTTCACCAGACCATTATCCAGTTTGAAGTTCAACAAAATTTTCTTTAGACATTGTGCAAAGAATCACACACTGTAGCAATGGACTAGTTGTGACAATGGGCCGGTAGGCGTTGGATAAACTGGGCACGGGATGCTAATTTTGACCTGCATGGTGGGTCGGGGCCTGAAACCTATATACCTAGTTGCAAGGCTGGGCGTGGGCCTAGGGTCCATGGCTTGGCTTGGTCCAGCCCATGACCTATATAGTCGGTGTCTTGTATAGACTAATTTTTTTTATAAAGAGGGTATTAAAAATTAAAGAAAAAACCATTAAAATACACCTATGAGATGACCTATTTTACAATACACAAATTTATTTTGATTTAATTTCAAAAGACTCATTCAAAGGCGCATGATACTGAGTTGAAATACTTGACAATGGGTAAAAATAATTTACAGTAAAATAAACTAGAGTATCATAGACCTAGCTTCATTTTATTAGCCTCGAGGCTCACTCCCAATGATGATTGATAACCTGACTTCACGAAAAGCACGTGGGACTAAGTTGAAATAGTTGAAAATGGATAAAATAATCTATAGTATCATAATCTAATATCATTTTAGTTGATAGTTTAGGCTAATATCATAACCTAACTTCATTGTAATGTATCTACTCAAAAAATATTTTATATTTATTAAGAATCAATAGATCCACTATCATACCATGTAAGAATAATTTTTTTTAGGAACGGGCTCAAGGCTAGGTATTGAGGGTAGCTAGCAACGTGACGTCTTGAATTATATTGCTACAATGCGTAGGGAATACTCACTTTTGATCCACCCAAAAAAAATAAAAAATTTATTTGGGATTTTTTTTTTTTCTATCATTTTGATAAAGATTGAAAAGTGTTTTAGCCCTAAATACTTATTTTTGTTTTTTTCCATCTTTTTGGATTATTTCGAAAATACCCCCATTCACAAGTTGATTTTTTTAAAATCGATTTTTTTACTACCTTTTTTCATGATTTTGAAGTGTTTTTGCTTAGTCTTACTTTAAACATACATTTCCTATTCTTTTGGATTTTTTATATATTTTATATAATATTTGTAACCTTGTTTTTTACTTGGACTTGGCCCATATAATCGGCACTCCGTATGAAGGGCAACGGTCCCATTGTAGACGTTAGCATGTGCATTGTATCTTCAATGCAGCAGACAAATTCAATGCAGCAGACGAATATGGGTTGCCACTTCCATTGTGCATATCCTCTCTCTACACGTAAGAAATTAGCGGTAGAGAATCATCGGTCCTCTCTTATCGTCCTCAACCCACCATACAATAAAGATGTCAATGAAAGCGTCATGCACACCAAACCCTCTTCCTTTCCCCCTAACTACTCTTCCTTGTTTTGAGAATCTATCGATATTATAAAGGGAAAAGTTTATAGAGAGCTGAGGCTCTAAACAATCAAATTTGAGCCCACCTCAAAAAAAAATTTAGAAGAAGTTGTTTTGATTGCCCAAATATCTTTAAATTGATCATCTCGACCTCAAGATGCATACACATGAGAAAAGAAAATGGATTTCAAGTTTTGAAAATAGTGCAGCTTATAGCATATTTTTGAACTGTCAGTTTTTAGATTTTCAAGTTGTCATAGATCTACTCGATCTATAGTATTTTTGAAGCTTTAAATTTTATAATTAAATATGAAAATATATTTTAAGGCTATCACAAATATTTTCAGTATTGAAACTACTTTTCTCGATACTATTTAAATATGGAAAAAGTTTATATAAGGTTGCAACCTTATAATGTAGAGCTACGGATGCACCTCAAAAATCCATTGAAAATATAGTTTTAATGTTGAAAAGCCCTTTGATTGATCATCTCGACATGTTGAGATGTATGACCATGAAAAATAAAAATATTTTAAGTATTAGAAATAATGCATTTTACAACATATTATCTACACCATCAATTTTCAAGATTTTAATATGTTGATAGATCTACTTGATTTAACCATTTTGTAAATTTAAAATTTTATAATTAGATATAAAAATAGATTTTGAGATAATCCTAAGAACGTTTTATATCAAAATTATATACCATAATAAAATTTTAAAGCGCACCTTACTTATATAGCTACGGATGCATCTGTATGCCAACTGCACCTTTAAATATAGGCTCCAATTTGATTGTTTAGAGCCTCGACTCTATGCAAACCTCACTCTATTATAAAAGGACCTGGTTTCGGTTTTTATGTAGCGAAGCCCGCATATGTAGAAATGTGGGCCTCTTAATAAATCTATTTTTGAGATGGATTTTAAGACTTAATTTTTAAGGACATTTAATCTAACATGGAGATCAAGAATATGAATAAAAAAATAAATTTTAAAAACGAAAAATAATAATTTTAGTAAAACCGTTAGTTTCCATTGTTTTTAGATGGAACGCTTACTTGCGTCCATCTTTAAGATGGATGCTTTACACTTCTTGGACCATATATATAGAAATACGGTCCAGCCCGTATGAAACATTTTCTATTATAAAACAAATACCAGGAAATGTCCATAGCTCCTTTAGTTTGGGTTAAAAATTTAGCCAATTAGGATTTAAAATCCAAATTTTGGTTCCTATTTAAATCTAGGTATGGATTCAATATTTGGATCCGACGAGCCGGATCCAGATCCAAATGGTAATTCAGATAGGATCTAGGGACAAGTGGATTCGATCAGAATCCAAACCAATTATTCAAATATATATATTCTATTAAAGTGCTCATATTATGGAGTAATTTATTATTGTACTCAACAATTTTGGATACTTCTATACTTTTGTTTTGTAAATGAAGCATTTTTTTAATAAGGGTAATTTTTTGTCATTTAAAGGATGTGACATCATCCACATGGAGTGTGACATCACTAAGGGTGAACACATTATGAATAATTTATCATTGTATTCAACAATTTTGGATACTTCTATACCTTTGTTTTATACATGGAGAATTTTTTAATAAGGGTATTTTTTGTCATTAAGAGGGTGTGACGTCATCTACATGGGGTGTGACATCACCCACATAGAGCACACTAGTGCCATTTAATGCTTCATATGATGATGCCACACCCATGTAGATAACATCACACCCTCTTAATGATCAAAAATATCTTTATTAAAAAATTCTTCATGTACAATACAAGGGTATAGAAGTATCCAAAATTGTTGAGCACAATGATAAATTACTCTATTGTGTGTGTGTGAGTATCCTAACATAAAACACACGCGCACACACACACACAAACACAAACATA